TGTTACAAATACAATACTATACTTTTCCCAACGCTTTACAATAATTTCTATTCACCCTCTTTACAGAACAACAGTACAACTTCATGGTCTAGGTACTGCGCTAAATATGTACAAGAGATCGCAACCACACTGCTGTCTTCAGAACTACATTTCATTTAGAAAACAAGGAAAGCAAGCAAACCTGGAAATCCCAACTAAGTCTCAAATTCAAACAAGATTCCAAACAAATGTGTGAAACTTGCTAATCAAAAAAATATGTTTCATCCTTAATGTAAACACTGAAGAGTTAATTAGACTGTATGAAGCAGCACGGATGAAAAAGAATTCAGGTCTGTCACTAAAGAAGGAATGTAAACCAGTAGTATGTTCCTTTGAAACTGTTAAAAATGCACGTATGTAATCTAACAAACTGCTGCAACAGTCTAGAGAACTGCCAGCTTCCCCTTTTGAGCTCCTTTTTCTTGTCCCTTTACAGAGTAAAACAGGATTCTCTACAAGAATGTTACGAGAAGTGTGCGCACAGTGTGGACCTCCCAGTTTAGAAATCTTACGCACACTCTGTCACTAGAAAAACAGATTTTTTGCTAGACTCTGATCCTGCAAGCATTTACTTGCTTAGTGTTAAGCACCTATTTACCATGAACTGTTCAAGCACTCAGGTGCCAGTAACTTCACAGAATCTTAGTTGCAGTATTTTCAAAGAAACAGTTGTTTGATCCCCAAATACATTTGCATGTTCAGGTCTTCACCATTTCCCAGTGAAGTGAGTTCAAGACCCCACCACACAAGCTGGACAGAAACGAGTGAAGCCGAGGGTGTAAACACAGCAGGAACCAGAAGCATGACACTGTGTCTTCAAGAGTTCACCGAGCTTCCTCAGGCAACTTATGGGAAGGCTGCATTGTATATAATCTTCTAAATTGTACATGGTTATATATCATATTTACATATATTACTATATATATGGAAAGTTCTGGAAAAAAAGTTCAAATTATCATAAAAAACAAGTGTCTACAGTTAAACAACATACTCACAATTCATTCACTATCTAGTTGCATCAGTCAGGTAGCAGAGGTAAGTATTAACCCGGAATACTAACACCGCTCTTGTGCAATCTGCTATTCTGGAGATTGGGATTAAACTGCATAACAACAAGAACAAGTAAAATCAAGTCATCATACATTAATCTCAACACTAAAACATATTCACTTACTACAATAGTTTATGCACCACTTTATTATCCCCTTTAAATATTTACTGCTCACTTTTAAATATAAAGTTTATTCTCCACCTCCGATCAGCCCATGGATACGCATGATTTCTGAAAGCCAAAAATGGACCTCTGGCAAGAGGGCTCAGTGGCTCTCAGCAGTGTTTGCACCAAGTGTGCGTCTGCATGTACACACACACTCCCACAAATCTCTGCAGTAATCTCTAGGTATTGCTGCTGGACTGCAAACAACGCTTACAGTCCGCCCCACAATAACTGAGAAATAAGTGACTATGACAAACAGCACATGTGCAAAGCAGAAGTGGTGTGTGGCTGCGTGCAGCCTGCTCTTGTTTTCGTCTCGCTGAGCCTTTTTATCACAAGAAAACACACAGAAACTGTTTCTTTAAAAGAAATCAACACATTAGCCTGGAATAAATGCATGGTTCAATTTCAGCATAAACACCAGTATACAGGCCTTGTAAAAAGTAACTACAGAGGATGGAGAATTTTCCTCTCACGAGAAAGAAAAGTCACTGCTGCTTTCCCTCCCCATGCCCACTCCCTCTTAAAGAAAAACCCAACCCAATCCCTTTTTCCCCTTTTGTCTCTAGCATGCAAGTTAGAGGCCAACCAAATCCTAAATTTCATACATCCCTACAGTTTACCATCTTCATATAAATGCATATAGTACACACATAACTCCTTTAAGTGTCATACATATGAAAAAAATCACAAGTTAAATTATATAACAAAATAAATAAGTTTATTCCCACCTCATCCCCTTCACTGTTACCTATATCATGAACTAAAGAGAAAGTCAATAAAATTAGACAGGTCTTTGGACAAAAATATATGTTAAAACTGGCTCAGAGAACAAAATTACTTAGAATAGTCTGCAGATCTCTTATATTCAAACTTCATAAATAGCAAGCATAATTTTAAAAATGTCTATATACACTGTCACACGTGGATGTGTGCACCAAATTCAGAATTAAGAGACTAGAAAAAGTGCAGCTATTGAGGAAAGCCCCTCACTATTTCTCTTGTAGATATTTAAAGATCCTTCCCTCCTCCTTTAACCTCTAAAATAGGCAAGGGACTATAAAAGACATGTTGCATTTAAAAACAAAGTAGAATGAAACAAAGAGAAAGCTGGGGGCAGAGGGGGAGCGGCAGCTGTAAAAAGTGCCTCCCAAATTACTTAGCGTAAGTAATGCAAGTGTAACACGTTTCAGCAACTCACAGAGTACCTTTTGGGGTCCTACTATCATGAAGAACTGATGACAGAAGGAAATTAAAAGGTGTGTGTTTGGACAGTCCATTTTACAATAGCAGCATTTGCTGAGTCTTCATAAGCAGGTAATTCTTCCTGAGGGGA